ACTGACAGTAAAGAGGGGTACTAGAAAACAATCCTGTTGCCAAGAGGAATGAGAGAGGAGGTGGGAATGGCAAAACAAACCATGGCATCCAAGTTTGGATGAAGTAGGAAATTACAGATTGAAGTGTGATTGACAAACTTGGACCCACAAAATAGTTTTTTGATCCAGATTTGTCAATCCAAAACAACCATGCACTACTGAGTTGGTGTGGGTTTTAATGTATGAACAAACAATAGTTTATTAAAATACAAACACCCTAAATCTTAACAGGGTTGCTTATGAGGTTACTTTTTATGTTGATAGTTTCAAGATGTTTTTATTCAATCACCAATCAAGAGGCATTTGTGATTCAATGAATACTCATATATCATATATAATGGGGATGGGAGTGTTATAATTTCTGGATTTTTCAGTTTCACTTCAAGGAAAAGTGGGTTCAAAATATCTGAATTCATTTAAACTACCTGACTTCAAGAATTTCTTGCCATTTCAAAGAAATAAATAAATACCTATTTACCAATAGAAGCTGAGCTCATCTGTTTCATGTGAGCTTCTATAACAGAAGGATCTCTAGAGCTGTAAGGCCCAAGTTCAGGATAGAAGCTGGATCCAATATCTTCTGGAGGACTGTGTCTTCCATTTGGATAACCACTTGCAATTTTGGGATCCCAGTGTGTCAACAAAGGATGGTTCCAGTGAATATATTTTCCATCAAACTGTGGAGTCCCAAACCAGCTGTAGTAAAACACATGGAAGTTGTAATTAAGAGATGGTAAATCTTCTTCCTGTTTCCCTACAGAAACTGTTGAGGCTTTGATATTCATACTCAGAGTGTGCAGATTGTTACTCTGTGTGAAGCTATCTTCTTTAGCATGCTTCATGCTGAATTTATTCTTTAAATGTGTGGTCCGTTGCTGAAAATCTGGTAAAAGGCCAATACCAAATGGATCTCCAAACACAGCTCTTTCAGGTCTCAGATTTTTCAAGGCCATCATTATGGAGCAAATAAATAAAATAAAAAGTAACAAAATGATGCATGTTCTTCTGCGAAATCTTGCCATGATGACATGGTAGTTCAAGACACACGTAGGAGACTTCAAGCTGTCAGTAAGCAAAAGAAAAAAATGTTAGAGTTCTAAATGTTGCAAGCAATTGAGTAATGTTCACAAACTAACTCATAAGGCTTCAAAGCCCTATAGAGATAATAAGAAATAAGGCAGTAACTATAGCAGATATAGGAATGAGATACAATAATGATGCGACAGAAGCAAAGTATAATGGGAGGTCAAGAAAAAAGGAGGCACTGAGGGCCAGATATTCTTGAACCCACAGTCAGTGACAAGGGAGTCTTCCTTCAGCTTTGTAACCTAAGACTAATTTGCACAGATAATTACAATTCCTATTGCTACAGAATACTTACAAATCTGAAAATTTTAGATTGTTGCCCAGAAATATGATAATAAACCTTAGAGTGAAGTTGAAAATTGTATGATGTTTCATCTCATGACTTAACTAAAGTTTAATAGAAAATTGAACAATAGCTGGGAACTGAAAACGAAGATTGTTCGACAAATGTATACCATGCAATTTCCCTTAAAATAATAAAATGCAAGAGGTCTCAGATGTTGATTCCATATCTTGAAAATGTGGGAAGAGTGGGACATGTACAGAATTCCAGCTAGAAAATCTAGTCAGTTTTAGCACATTAGTTAAACAATTAAAACCTGTAGCCTGTTTTTTCCCCCAAAGAATTGTTAAAGAGCAATGTTCCTTCTATTCTATGTACTAGCTTGAAGAAGACAGACAGACAACAACCATGTCTATAAGCAAATTAAATGTGGACAAGAAAGAACAACACTGGGAGAAACACTTGTTCTTTATTATCCTCAAAGGGTTGAGAGAAGTTGAATGCAGGAAGCTTTTCCCCAACTACTCTGGGAACCATATAGCTGACCACTTGTTTTCTCACCTGGAGATGTAAAGGCAAGAGAACCAACGTGAAACTCATGAAGTATTTTTTCTAACACAATGTTATTCAGCTGAAAAACACTACAGAGATGAGAACCTCAATGATAGTCATAAGCTGATCAGAATAAATTGTAGAGACTGTAGTCTTACACAAAACTTTTGCACAATGAAACTGTCCCTACAAAAGTGTGGTGATTTAAGCACACACAGACCTATGCTCAGAAATCTCAAATAAAGTTCAAGGATAGAACACTTGAGAGAAAGTATTATACAAATACCTGCTAGTCTCAGGCTACAGAACATAAAGCTATGCCTTACTATAAAAAGCAACTAATCATTGATTTGTAGTCTCCATTTTGTAGTCTCCAAAATGAATTTGTTCAGTTCATCCTAGCCTACTGTACTAAACTTATGATGAAAACAATGTCCGAGCCACAGAAAATAAAATATAATATTGGTCCACGTGTTGCATATAGATAGTTGGATATATCTCATACACTAGACAAGTAGGTGAAAATGAGGATCTGGCATTGGATAGAAAATTCAGTATTTGCTAGCCCTGGCACTTCTTCTTTTTTTTTTTAACTGCTTACAATATAATACTCTGATGTCAGCCACTCAGTTCAAGGAGACTTATGCTCAAGTAAAGGTTGCAAGAATGCACTTTTAGCCTCTGGCTGTTTATTATTTATCATTAAATTTAGCTTAAAGAAATATGTAGTGAAATACCAAAAGTATAGCATTTTATAAAGCATATTTTTTTATTTGGTGAGATCTTTTCTGGTAGGCTGACCTTTGTACTCCCTGATCGCATGGTCTGAGGGGGCGGGGCTTTGGTTTTAAATTAGTGCCAGCATAAGCACTCTAGTTCTATCTTTGACCCTAATCTGCTAAATAGGAAAGCCAAATAGCATTTCATACACCTGGGGGCAGGAATGTTTCAGGAGTAGGATCATACTTCCGCACTATTAGGGAGCCAGGAGGGTAGGTGGGGTTTGTCACCCATGTAAGGCAGCCTATCTAGGAGAAGGAAAACTCTGATTTCAAACCTCTACTGCCTTGTGGCTATATCCACTGATGGGAAAGGCTTCAGAAGATAACCTCGAGGCAAAATCCGGAGCCGGAGTCCCGTAGACAGTTCGTGTCGTTCTGCCAACTCCTGCGACGTCGCTGGAACCAGTTGTATTGGCTCTTGCCTTTCCATTGGACTATTTCAGTGACGTGGAGAGGGGGGATTTGCTGCTTGGGTAACAGCCTATCCTCCATATTATTCTACCCAGGCTTCGTGCTCTGGAGAGGACACTCCAGCTTTGCATACAGTATCGAAATAACACAGGAACTAGCAGTTACTGGTTATAAGTCTTGCTCGATTGGTGTACAGCATGATGCCAGGGCCTATTTCTGATGGTGGGAGAGCCGACAAGCAGAGCAATAACCCTGCACCATGCAACAATCAGAAGAAAACATCTGCCCTAAATTTGGACACCTGGAATGTTCGAACAATAACCCCTGGCTTTTCTGACAACCTGCAGGAAATAGATGACATGCGCAAGACAGCTATCATCGACATTATACTGAGTAGACTGCAGATGGACATTGTT